GTGTAACGGATAACCTACGAATGGTTTTTGCTGAAAACCGTTCTGAAAAGTCACCAAGACTTATGGAATAAACTGTATTTTATGTTAGAACGTGATGATTATGCTATCGGACAGTTGATCCGAGGCACAGATATGTGAGTAACTTGCTTAAGGTTTTATACGAATTGACTGTGTCGCAGATCAAACACATCATCTTTACTTGGTACGTCAAAGATAATCACCTGATGATTATGCTAGATTCTGTATAAATATAAAATATCCAAACGATGTTAACTAGAAAATACCGACTGGACCGACTGGAAAATATTACCCGGCAGACAAACATCCGGATACGAGAATAAAGAGAGTTCACAAGCATCTAGACTCAGACGGAATTACTCTAGATTAAAATGACACATCATCCAAGTCTTTTTCTATCTCGACAAGTATTTTTCGAGCGGTTAAAGTGCTTCGGGCTTATGGAAACAGGAAACTCGAGCGACCACAAAAATACTTTGAACTACAACTGTACTTTTTGCAACGATCATAGCGTATCTAAAAGAAAATGATATCCTATGAAGTTTATAGTCAATGGAAGTGGCTTCGACGCCTGTTCGAATGATGTCACAGCGAACTCCATGGCTGCTTTCAAGGGGATGAGGGTGAGGGAGCTTTCTGTGTGATAGTCTACGTACTATTATTAACTTACGAAAAGTACAACTCACATAATGCAGCCCTACTCTGAAAAAGTTATTGTGAATATCGATTTTCCTGAGCGATATATTGTGAATTTTAGCGTTTCATAGGTTTTGCTAACTGAATATTCCAACACTACGAGAATTTGAAATGCCTTGTTCTTCGTGCCTGGATATAGCATCGAAAATTACACGTTTGTTTCTCTGAAATCCAACATTCATCTTCAACGTGTACAATAATTTTTGTTTGGAGTCCCATTTAGTTTCGACCACAACTGTACTTTTTCTACCGATCACAGCGAACCTAAACAAAATGAAATTCTACGAAGTTTATAGTGAACGGAAGTCGCTTCGACGCTTGTTCCAAGGACGACTTCTACGGCTCTTTTAGCTTCATATGTGCGGACTCCGCATTGGAATCTACTATTGAAAACGTTCTTCCGAATCGATTGAGATTCTTCCGGATTCTGTTCGGGCTCCGATGTCCATAACAATCAATCATTTTACTGAAGAACAGAAGTTTCCTTCGGAATTTTCAAAAGCCTCTAATGCAAGGTTCGTACATAGAGAGTGAAAGAAGCCATGGGGTTCGTTCTTGCGGTATTGGAATAAGCGTCGACGCGACTTCCATTCACTATAAACTTCGTAGAATTTCATTTTGTTTTAGGTTCGCTGTGATCGTTACAAGAAGTAAAATCCGATGAGGACTACTTATTACATAAGTATATCGAAAAACTAATGTTTAGTTTTAGGCCGGGCGCCAAGTTGGCAGTTTTTTAATCCTAGATTCCAATGGCGAGTCCGCACATAGAAAGCGAAAGAAGCCATGGAGTTCCTTCTTGCGGCATTGGAACAAGCGTCGAAGCGACTTCCATTCACTATAAACTTCGTAGGATTTCGTTTTGTTTGAGGTTCGCTGTGATCGTTACAAGAAGTAAAATTGGTCCAAAGTAAATGGGTCTCCCAGACAGAAATTATTTTACACGTTGAAGATGAATGTTGGATTTCAGAGAAACAAACGTGTAACTTTCGATGCTATATCAAGCCATGAGGAACAAGGCGTTTCAAATTCTCAGTTAGCAAAACCAACGTTTCTAGAGAAACTAGGAGTCAATATTTGTAGAGATTTTCTCTTCTCTTTCCTTTTCCTTTACTATACCCCGAATTCTTATAATGATAATGTGGCTATTGCCTGCATCGTATGAAAACGTTAGCCTGTTCAGCAAAATGTCTGACTGGCTAGCTCCTACCGATGGTGGAGACCCATTGAGCGTGAGATCCTGCACGGAGGTCATGAAGCAACATCACCACGACAGGGGCTGTTCTTTACAACCCTTGTTTCTTGTCGAGGGCGGTAAAGAAAAACGGGCTCAGTTCTTTTATTAAGAATATAACAGTAACCTTTCGTGCTCAATATCTCTAGTTTCGTTCGCTCTGATTGCGATCATCACACGCGAGTTCTATCAAAAACGCCGAACTCGGCTCAAATGCGCTCGAATATTGAGTTTCGAAATCAGTTCTACTGACAGAGAAGCTTTTCTGCCAACAAGTGCACAGCAAGAACATATTTGCACTTTGTACGTAGCATGATTGTCTTATTTCTAAAACGATGTTTAAAAAACAACAGCCTAAAAAGTCACTGCACAGTTTTTTTGTTAATATTTTTGACATAGTTCATATATTTTCAGTTGTTTTGTTGTTTTCACGACAAGCTGATTTTGTTTATAAATGATTCCGTTCAAGATTGTTTCGTCGTCGTCGTTCTCGTAGTTATAAAAGCAAATAAAGCCATTTTGATCAAACGAAATGAATTGTTGATCGAGGATTAAAATAAATGAGAAACGTTGATCACTAGATATTGCCACTATTTGACCGCCTATATCGTCTATATCCAAATATAAACAGTTGATGAGTGCCAAATGTTCAGAACGAATTTCTAATCGCAACGGGTTTGATAATAATAAAACAACAAAATATTTGTTAGAACATAATTTAATGATAGAATCTGCCATTTTATACCTAAAACACAAAATATTCGACCATAGGGATTCGATAACCGAATGAATGACCCAGTCTATGAATGTTGAAAGAAGCACAGAAAAGCTGAGAGAAATAAATATGCCTATTAGCGCATGGTTTACCGAAGGATTTGGTTTGTATTTGCTAAATATCTTTTTGACTCTGTTTCAGTATTTCCCACCATTCGTTTCTTCGTTTTGATTTCAATTCGTTGTAAATACGATGTTTTCTGTTCATCATTGTTATATGCCACTAATACATAACAGTTGAACGTTGCCAAACCAGCCACCTTATCACCAATTCCGTCGTGATTGGATGAGAGGGAATAAATTAAATCAACAATGTATGTTTCATACGACATTAAGTAAAATAAATACTTCGATTGAGCTGCAGAAGACTTTTGAACGAGAATTAAGTATTTGTTAAATAGATCAAACCATTTTATATCGACAAGTTGACCGGCTCTTTTCAACGGCCAGAAAATTTTATTTACTGCAGTTAAGTTGTCATTTTGGATGTACAGCAAATTCAAGTGAGGAGAACAGAGTAAAATCGATGAAGGTGATGCGGCTAAAACGAGATAAAAAAATGCCAGCGGAGCTACTGGGCATGTACATAACAGAGTGTGTTCCGTACTCACCCATTATTGTCGAATCATCAACATTGTTCGATTGTTCAATTTGTCTCATATGCTTGAAGTCAAGCCCGTTTAATGAATAAAAATAATTTTCGAATTGAACTTGTTTTGTGTCGGCATTCGACGTCATTTGTAGATCAATAATTAAATAGTCTAATTCTTTCTGAAATGTCACCAAGTCATTTTCCATTTCTGCTTGACGATGTTTTGACAGAAATAATCCGCCGCCAGATAATGATTCATTCACCACAGCCAAATAACGTTCGAAACGCTGACGTTCAACACGCTTAAAGCGATCGATTTGTGATATTAAGTCTAACGAACATTTTTCTAATAAATTCTGAGATTCATCGAAGCAAATATCACCTGAAAAGCAAAGGGAACTAGGTCCTGATCAAGTTGAAATACTTCGATTTTGAATAGTTTGTCGATCTGTGAGGTTATTTCACTTTTCTATAGAAAAGGTCAGAAAGAATGTATGGATAGAGACACATTTGGTTCACCCACAGCGTCATAATGCTTAATGAGGTTACTTTTTGGTAATGTGCAGCTTTTTCACATTATCTTTGTTTGTATTCCGGTGGTGTGTGAAATCGCCTATTTTTCTTTGAGCAGATTGGTTTTTTGTCAAGAACAGTACATGCAGCTGTGGTGGAGGATTCTTACCGTTTGTCTCATTGTTTTTGTACTGCTTTTGAACATAATCTTTGCAATTATTCGCATTTATTTTTGACAAACGTGTTAATAACGCACTTATTTGGTTACGATAAAATTTTAATAAGTCTTCATAACTTAATTCTGTCGACAATAATGGCGACATAGTGAGTTCAGTTATCAGTTAGAAATAGAAATGTGGATAGAACAAAAATGTAGCTTTCACTCTAAGAATTGAGTGTGTCGTATGTACAATACAGTTGTATGGTTAGTTTCATGTTAAACAATGTATGAAAAGAAAGAGAGAAAAATAAGAATGATTCACAGTCTATATATCTATTTAAAAGACTTTTTACATAACTAGGCGTTCGAGAATGTCTCAACTGTAGTGATACAATTTAAACTCTTATCTGAAAATGTCGAAGTTCAAGTTAAAAATAGAAGAAGTGTAAGTGGAGGAAGGTGACACGGAGTGTAAAACAACCACCAAGGAAACTAATTCTTCGACAATAATGAATATCACAAATATTTTTTTGTAATCTGTCACATAAATCGTTCGACGGTAGAGAAAGATCCATAATCTCTGAAACATTCTGAGGAAAGGTGATGACGTTTCCTTTTAGTTTAGATTGAGTTGTGGCATCATCGTGGAAACGGGATTCCAGTTTTGTAATTGTTCAACTGTAGTGATAGAGTGTAATAAGCATTTGTTTCGGTATCGTCCAATCTTGTAATCCTTGAAGAATATCGCCGCCGAATGTTAAATTTCGAATTTTGTATTTTTCAAGTCAGCTTTACATGAAGCACTTAAGTAGCATAAAGTGCTATCATTTGTAGTTTACCTGACTCGTAGAGACTCTGACTCGGAAAGTGGCTTTTGAGTTTTTCGGTGTAATGAAGAATCTGAAGCGTCTTTGTGAAGCCGATTTTGTGAAATACTATATGGTTGCGCAGGTTTTGCGCCTTTTAGCTTGTGACTGATAAGTCGACCCTGTCTTGTATTCTTGTATTGTTGCAGATTCGCTTCCTTCTTATACGCTTGACCTCCAAATGTAAAAATTGTTTTGTGTCGTTATTGGCAGACTTTTGTAGGAACTGTCTGTTAAAAACGGATTACACTAGGAGTTAAAACGAAATTCAAGGATTTGTTTTGAAGACAACGATATATCATTGGCTGTGAAAAGACAGATCAAGGACTTGCCAAGTGTCGTTACTTGGCTTGCTTCAGCCAAGTACTTGGAGAAGCCAGTCACCGTTTTCTTTTCCATTGACCACTTGTATATAAACACCGCAATATCAATCGTTATACACTTATAAAATAAACTTATATATTTCCACTGAGTTGAAGAAACTTAGTAGGCGTGCATGTATTTGTTCTGCAAAAGTAGAGTATAGCTGTAGAATATGTCCAAAATACAAAATGAAGATAAATGGAATAAGTATTTGACTAAAGCTTTTGAAGTAAATTTACTTGCTTTGTGTCAGCAAGTACTTACATTTTACTTATCAAGTACTTGAGAAAATACTTGGCAAGTAAGTTTACTTGAAAAAGTCCACAGGTACTGGAAAAGGTAGAAGGAACACATATGAATAAAGTCTCCAGGCGATAAGAAGAGTTTTGGGTGAACTTAGAAGAGTGGGATTTTTTTTCGAGATCTTTGTAGGATTTTTTCGAGATCTTTGTGTTTCTCTAGAATCAAGCGAAAAGTTAGAAATTTCCCTGCGTCAAGTTTAAACTACAAGTCTTCATTTGAAGACCGACCTGAATTTTCTAGTATGCAAGATGGAGGATTATTTAATCATGAATAAATCTCAAACTTGACGTTTTCGACGAATAGATCTTAATTAAGTGTACGATGTGTATTCGACTCTGCTTTAGAAAGTCATTTCCACTAGTCCTACTCACCGGCATACTTTCTCATAAGCGATTTGAACATTCATATTCTTCAGTATCTTCGCTCTTCGTGCTTAGTTGTCTAGCGCTACGTAATATTGTTCGATAGATCGAACAAAGTGGCATCACTTTCTGTCAAAGTGATTTTATATTATATTTAATAATCACAAATCTTCGCCTACAAAAGCAATGATTTGGATATTCAACTTGCAGCTGTTAGAGGGTGACAACGACGAAGAGAGTCAGAAACCGTCTCTCGACATCAGATTGAGTGTGAGTGCCTGGATCATGTCATAACAAAACAGACTTCTGTAGTGATTGCGACACAACAGCGATAGCTGTCTATCAGGAGGTAGAATTGTCACCAATTTCGGATTTTATATGAAGTACTTGTCATTGATTCTCTTTCTAGTGGACGCCGTATAATGTTTTTTGTTTCGTTTATGCAGGGCAATAAACAAGATGAAAACGCTTAATAGTTCAATATGCAGTTGTACGACTGTTGTATTGAAAGAAATAACTCACGGGATGAGGAATAACTTGCTCTTTCTAAAGTTTATATAGCATTTATTACTTAAGCATTTTTCGTAAAAGCCCTAAAAATTGCTAAAAGCAACATCTATAGAAAACTGCATTTTACAGCCGTCATATTTCGATCCAGACAGCAGATCTACAGCTCGTACTGCAGGTCGAATACTACCTGTACCCAAAAACATATGTGGATTGGAAAGATTCTGGATCTGCTGCCTAGATCGAAATATGACGGCTGTAAAATACAGTTTTCTATAGACGTTGTTTTTAGCAATTTTTAGGGCTTTTACGAAAAATGCTCAAAGTCCTAAAGGAAGCATTATCCTGTCAAAACATTTTGGGGATCTCGATAGATATGTTGCCTCTACCATACATAGGAATTTGAGCTAAAAGTTCGAACATCGATCGAGCATCGCACAAGAAAATCAGTCGTTCTTTCCGTGCAATGGCTCTTAGGATAACGTAATTTTAACATGAGAAATTTTATTGTTTAGGTGATGTAGAGTTATTTCTTGAGAAGCAGACGTGGAGCACGAAGTATGCCACTACAACGATTTAATAAAAGACTATGTTTATATTCTGAACTTTATCTGACGAGTGGAAATTTATATGATTACGATGTAAATGTATAACAATATTCATAACTGGTTTATTACTGCTTATTTTCTATTTATCCTCTTTCAAATGCCTTCATACTCTGTTTTCACATTTATAGATAAACAGCTATCGGTTAGGCTTGTTGTTCCAACTTAGGCAATGAATCTGGTAGTAATCATATCTACATATGAGTAGGACAGAAAGTACAAAAAAATAACTGTTCACGAATCCAGTAAATTTTCGTTTTTTTGAACGTTTAGCCAATGAACGTGAATCATCCATTTGACTTCTCACAGTTTGTATACAATGTCCGCTGAAACAGTGATGAATTCATCTATGTTTGTCTTCTCAATTGGTGCATTTGGTTCGATACTATTTTTATTTTTTGCAGACGCGTGGAAACAATCCACCATCTTTTTATAAATTTCCTAGCATTCTCAACATAAATGCATCAGGACATTGGTTTTTTTTTGTACAAAAACAAACAAAACAACTAAAATATTCAAAAGAACATAATATAAAATAAGTTCGATTCCAAAATAAACTATATATTTTCTTCATGAAAAGCCAAATTCAGGATAAGAAAATGAATAATTTATTATTTAAGCTACGGCCGCAGCTGGCACATTCATTTTTCGCTCAATATCAGCACAATATTTCTCTGGTACACCAGCACGACTGAAACATAGACAATAATGCTTTTATGATCATATAATACACTTTGTTTGGAGAAAAACGACAATAAAAATCATGATGCAAACTTAAATACATAAGGACAAATATGCTAAACTCTAATGTGTTTTTAATTAGCGTTCGTCTAGACTGTGCATTACATCTCGATTTTACTACATCTATAGAGAGTATTGCAACTGAGTTTTCCCGTAAAACTATTTCCATTTAACTCGAGAATGATAAAGGCTGCAAAGTTTCAGTACCTTAGCGCTTATTCTTGATAATTTATAACATTATTAAAATTTCTTCAGTACTTGTTTATCTCCTGAACTAGAAATGATATTAAGGAGTTTTTGTATTAAAATCAAGCGCATATCATGTGGATATTATTCTAGTTTGCAATCATTTTCGTATTGGATCAACATGAACATACTTATCAAACAGTACAGTGTATATTTCCAGTTGAAGTAAAATTTTCTAGTGAATTTTATATCTGATATGGACAAAAATCACATCTGTAGACCGGAGTATCCTGTAGAGATTTTAATAAAAGTGAAAAAAGTCTACACACTAGCATGTTTTCAAATCGTTTCTGTCATACTGAGTGAAAGTTCTTTTATTATTACAATATGTAAATAAATCAATGCGTTTTTTGGAGGTTTTTTATTATTGAAAAGGGGTATTTTACGGATTTTAAAAAATGGAAAAGCGTTCGGTATAGTTACAAAATGGAAAATCCTTTTTCATTTTTTAATCTACGATTGTTTTTTAGTGTGCATATGTTCTATATCATAGCGAAGTTTTTGTGGTACGTTCAGTCATCACTTCTTGCAAGATCTTGAAGAACATACAACAAGATTTAAAAAAATATGTTCTTGTTCAATCTTGT